CCAGGGGCTGACTACAGGAAGCTGGAGGCAGAATTGCTCTGCCCCCAGCTTCCTGGAATCAGCCACTGATCAGTTTCAACAGCAGCTGAATGTCGAGCCTGGGACAGAACAGCTGGGCTGCCAGGTAGGTCCCTGCAGGACCAACCCGGCAGCACCCCAGCTGCTCTACCCCAGGGTCCACAACAAAAGCCTGGTCTGCTGGGGGGGCACACTAGCTGCGCCCCCGCCCCCCCAGCAGACCAGGGACACCGGGAGCAAAGCCGCAGCAGCAGCGGAGTCCCGCGCCTCTGAGGCTTTGCCACAGCAAAGCCTCAGAGGCGTGGGACCCCTCCGCCTCCCTGGCTTTGCTCCGGGTGTCCCTGGTCTGCTGGAGACGGTCCCCAGCAGACTAGGGGCACCCAGAGAAGCTTTTCTTGACCCGGAGGTCGAGGTGGCGGGACCGCTGCGCTCTGGGCGGTCCCACTGCCTGCGAGCTCCGGGGCGAGAGAGCCCCGTTCGTAAGTGCGGATCCGACATAAGTCGGATCCGCGTAACTCGGGGACTGCCTGTAATGCCTTTTGTCGACAGAGTTCTGTCGATAGAAGGTGTTATTGCATCGACACTGTCCTTTGCATCTACACTGTCATGTCGACAAAGCGGCTGGCTTTGTCGACAGAAGCTTTGTTGACAGTATCTGTTGACAAAACTTCGTCGTCAAAAGCCTGTAGTCTAGATGTACCCTTAATGCCTACCCCTGCAGAGTTATGTCTATACTGTGAGCTAGGGGTGTAGTTCCTTTTATGTATACATACTCATGCTAGCTCTCAGAACTAGCATGTGTAGAATAAATAGGGTAGCAACTGTGTGAATGAGCCTGAAACTTTCCTTGTTTTGAGACCTACTTAATAGGTAAATGAAGGCTTGTAGGTCAGTAAAATTCAAGTTTGTAAACAGTGTGATAAAAATATCTAGAGGGAAGAAGCTGTCATTTTTGTTTTGTCACTAAATGCATGTGTCATTTTAACTGTTTCAAAGCTTCCAATTATATTTTTCATTGTAGTTTCACTCAAGTCTGCATATTCATCAGGCTTTTGTTTTATTAATGAAAATACTGATTTTATTAATCTGTCTTTCAGTGACCTGTGCAGTGATGCAGAAGAGTGGAGCTGGTCTTCACACAGCAAGCTCATGCTTTTGGGATACCACGACTGACGGTAAGTTTCCCTCATCAAGGTTCAAGCCAAATAAGACATTGAAGTGCTACCTGTAGTTAAGCTGTTGCAAATAGTATTTTTGACAGTGTGAAGGACTGATTACAAAAAGGCACCAACTCCAGAACTGGAAGCCTTGTTTGCATTTTCAACAGATGCAAGCAGAATTGAATGAACAGTAGGTGGCTAGAGAACACTGAGTGCCTGCATACACACAGTATGACAAAATTAACAACACCAGTGGAGCTGTCTCCAATATGAAAGAAAGATTGTGCAAATTAGTCTCCAGAGAAGATCCTCAGTTATAGGACACTGACTTAATTAATAGCATGTGCTATAAATGCAAGTTTGCAAGCCTGAATGTCTGCCTGCTTGTAATAAATGGACTACCCTACTCTAATGGAGAAGTTGGCATGAATAAAGAATTGGCTTTTTTTTTTTAGCTAAAGCAGAAATAGTTTGACTAATGTTATAATAGCTTTTATTTCTTTTCAGTTGCCATGTTCCTTTATTTCATTCTTCTGCATTATTTTCAAGTTCCTCTATTTCAGTTCACAGTGGGGTATAAAATTCTTAGAATGCTTTCACGCTTACCAAGGTTCAGTTCCTCAGGTACTCTAGAAAGGACTAAAAAGAGGCAACAGGATTCTGCTGTAAAAAGGTTAAAAGACTGCATTTAGCTCACAAGACTGAGTTGAGGCATTATTTAGAAAATCAGTTCTAATTAAGTACATTCAGATCAGAGTTTTGTGTGTGTGTGTATACATATGTAGTTGACTTTTCAGTGTCAGAGCAGCTGCTTTTTGCTCATTTCCCATTATGTTAAAATCTTATTTATGTTATTAATGTTGTAAGCGTAGTATGTTCTATTCTTATTGTGCCATTGAAGATTCTTTTAGATGCAAAAGAGTCAAAAGGTACATAAAAGGATTTGAATATATTGGTTCAATGGCTGAACATGAAGGGAGGGGAAATTCATTGTTGGCAAGGTACAAAGAACTATTTCTTAAATTAGTTTATTTAAAAACTAATTCTTAGCCAATCTTCTCTTCCTACCTGGTACAGTCACAGGGATTGAGCTTAAGTAATTATCAAAGACTATATAATAATTGACTTGGGAGAGCAAGAAATGATTTTCTGGCATCAGGAAAATTAATAGTTCATGGGGACAGAAAGAAGTCATTACTCAAAGCTTTTTACTCAATTCTTACACTCCACAGCAATGTACATATCTCTGCTTTTTAGTTGCAGAATAAAAAGTTGTAGGAAAAGCTATTTTAGTTAACAAACAGAAAGATGCAGAAGCTCTGTAACAGAGAAACAGGAACATTAGCTAGAACTTAATTTATTATATTGGTGATTTTATTTATTTATAACTAAGTTTTAGTAAATAGTAGTATGTGTAAGTTTGATGCTATTTTGATGGTATTACAGTAGACCTCCGATAATCTGGCACTTTTTGAACCTAGGTGGTGCCAGATTATCAGGTTTGCCGGAGAATCAGGAGGTCAGGTACAGCTGCACGGTTTAACAGCTGGCTAGGACACAATCTCCCTCCCTCTCCCTCCCCTTTCCTCTTCCTGTCTTCTCCATACTGTAATCTGATCCTCCTCTGCCCTTCCCTCCCCTTTCCTCTTCGCTGAAGCAAAATGCTCTTCTCCATACTGTAACACGATCCCACTCCCCCCCCCACCTTATACTCCCTCTGGTTACAACCAGCACATGTGCTGAGTGACAGGCTTTTTAATCAGCTGGTCAGGAGCGCTTGGCATTTTGATACCGGAGTATCGGGAGTGCCAAACAGGTGGATGCCGGACTATCGGGGTTTTATTGTAGTTTCTGTATTCCAAAGAGATAAAGGTAAAAGTAAATTCATCTTTATGGACAGGATTACAAATTCTTGTTATATTTCCTCAGAAAAATTAGTATAAGGGTTTTTTTTAATCCTAAATTTCTGGTCTTTTGCACTGAAATGTAATAGAATTTAACAGAACAGGCAGGGGGAGGAAGCTTATTTTCTGATTTTTAAAATTATCTTTTAGGTACCTGCACAGTGAGATGGGAAAACCGAACTATGAACTGCATCGTCAACGTTTTTGCCATTGCTGTTGTCCTGTAGCTGACTGGAGGACAAATGTTAAGTTACACCAAAGCCTTTTAAGATCAGAAAGTATCAAAATCTCAAAGCATATTGCCATTATTTAATACTTTTTCTCTTTAGTGCACAAACGGTATTTAGCATGCTTTAAAGTTCACTATTCAACATATGCATTCTGAGCAAATTCTTTCAATTTAGCTAGCAACAACTAGCTTTTCTTTAGCAAATTTTAGCAGTTTAAATATTCCATATTGATATGTTAAACTGGAGGTACTATGATATTAATCAAATGAGAATATGGATACTTGCATCAAAGAATTACATCTACCATGTCAGCGAAGGTATGACTAGCACAGGTAGGCATATCCAAGCTTGCCTTAATCTAGGTAGCACAATAGTATATATGTGAATGTACAGGCTAGCTGCCCAAATACAAACCCATGAGATAACCTGGGTATGTACTGAGGTTGCTAGCCCATGCTAAAACCTGTGCCACTAAGCCTACACTATCATTATCATATTAGCTAGATTAAAAATAACACAGGTATGTCTACCCATACTACATAAATACCTTCATATGCAGTGTATAGGCAAACTGACATTTTACTCACAGGGAGATGGAGTAATCTAATCAGCAGAAGGAAGGCGAAAGGGAACAAGTGTTAAGGAATGAGATTAAAATGCAATTGAAAACAGACTAGGAATGGTAAATATCACTGCCTCATATGTGATGACACAAAGGCTATTTCCATATTATGCACTAATGCTTCATGTACACCACAGTTACTTGATCAAGTGTAAAAAGCCCCAAAAACTTAAAATTTATGCTTTGCTGCTTGGGACACAGAATGACTTTGTCATGCTGAAGCATTTATTTCTTCAGTGGACTCTAGTTCTTTTAAAGGGTGTGAGCTGTCTGCAAATACTATTTAGAGTGTTATCACTGAATTCAGTGGAAACATAGTAGGGTCCACTTTTCATTTGCACTTAATAGATATTTTTAAGAAGAATTCACCAAATTATAAAACCAATTTAAATCTGACCTGTTGGTACAGGTCAGACTAGGTGAATGTAGGAAAATTCATGACATTAGCGCCTTAAACGTTCCTGATCCAGTTTAAATAGTTGATCGTTCCTAACTAGGAGCCCAACTCTATACCCACTGACCTCAGCAGAATTAGGGTTGGGCTTCAGTTACTCGAAGTTATTTACTGCAATCATGTAGAGCAAAAAAATTAGTTTAAGTAGGTAGATGCCCATGTTTTTTAAAAGGGCCTTATTCTCTCTTTAAGCACAAATAAATGATATAGAACATATCCTTAAATATTTATAAATAAGTATTGCCTGTACTCCACATCTAAAATTATGTAATAACTGTGGAGTACTTAGTTAAAAATTAGTAACTTAGCTAAGGCCCTATCTTGCAAACATTCATACATGTGCTCATGTCACTGACATGAGCAATCCTATTGACTTGTGTAAGACATTCACAGGACAAGTAAAATTATTTTGTATGTAAGCAATTGCAGGATCAGGGCCTACATTTTAACTTCTGCATAAATTATGTAAATTTTCAAGTATTTGTACTGATCATAAAAATATCTAAGTTGTTACTGCCAGTGAATGGCAGCTATTTTAAATTCTGCCATATCTCAAACACCATTTAAAGATGTTTTTCTTATTTATTGCACATCTTTAGATAGTAACTATGTAATAGTTGCTATAATAGTTGCTTTGCATTTTAACATGGAAAATTATTTTAGGCAGTTCTGATTTTTTTTAAATTATTTTTCAGAGCTACTCTGATTTGGTCAAATAGCAAATATGTTCTTTAAAAAAATTATAACAGCCCTGGTTGTTCAAACTGTATTAAAAATTGGTATATGGTTCAAAAAGTGAGAACCTACATACATCTAGAATATACAATGTTAGTTCAGAATCTATTGCTTTGCAGGCACAAAAATACATCTTTTGTATGAGCATAGATCGAGTAAAGCTGTAAAACATTGCATTTGTCTAGGAGACAGATATAGTGTGAAAACATTTGCATGGTGCACTGAATTTCAATTTATATATAAAATAAAGTAATTTAAGAAAGATTATCTGGTTTAGGGTAAGATGTGGATAGGTAAAAATATAGGGATAGCTACTATCCCATTAATTTTATAATCTTTAGCTGCCATGACTGTAGTAAATATTCCTAATAGCCATTAACTTTGTTAGTCTTTTTTTGCCATACTTGAAGATAAAATACAAAATGATATCTTGTTTGGTGTAAAAGCTCACTAAAGATCTTTAAAATATTGATTGTTGTAAAGTTACTTCATTTTGTATCTACCAAAGATAAAGATGGTTTGACTTGGTTCTATTTAATTTTGTATTATCAATTATAGATAGCAGCTTGCGGCAGTATTCCTCCTCCACCTTTAGTGCTTTATAAGTAAAACACAGCTGCCTAGATATTTTGGAAACTATGGATCTGACCTGGCAAGTGTCCCAAAATTCATGGAGTATTGCCAATTTCTCATATCCCTCCTCAATATTACATCCATCCACTTATTGCCTTTCATAGTATTTTACAAGATAACTTTTACTGGATTAACATATAACCTTAATTACAGAAACTTTAGGGCCAGAGCACTTTATTTCACATTGTTTAATTGTTGTCCTTTAGAAGATGGGTGCGTGCATCTATGAAGAAACAGGAGTAAGAAGAAAAAAAAGTTTTAATGAATATACAGTCATTTGAGACTTTTTTTTTTTTTTACAATAAAGCATTAGGGTAGCTTAGAATCCATAGTCACATGAGCTCTTGGTGCAATGTGCTATGCACCAGACAAACAAATGAATCAAAGGAATTAAAAAACTCCAACCTTAGTGGAAGCTGGTGAAATGGAACAGCTGGTTGAATGACAGGAAGCTCTCTTTCAATCAGCAAGCTTTCCTCCTCATGGTTTTACACTCAGTACAGTAAGAATGAATTCTAAATGACTTTACATCACTAAAAAAGAAATCAGGAACAAAAAATACCTGTAGTATAAGTCACTCCTAGAATAAGTTGGTATGAAATATACCCTTCCTACAGCCCTATTACCTCCCAAATAGCTGTTCATATGGAATTTTCTGAATCCGCTCCTCCTCTCCCCTTGTAGTTTGTGTGTCCAGCCCTGTTTCATTTCTTGCCCAAGACCACCTGTGCAAGAACCAGGAAAGAGTTAATTCTTTGTTTGCTGGAAATCAGGGAGACTGTGTATCCTATCACAAACAAAAGGTTGTAAATAATGGTGTAGGAATTTGCATTGTTTATGTAGTATTTTGGATTCATCTGAATTGGAACTGGAAAATACCAACTTTCCAGTTTTTTCTTCTTCCTAGAATTTCTGGATCACCCAGTAGGGCCAGATTTGGATCCCCTGAGTTAAATCATCCCCCTCTGAAATTTGGTTTCAAGATTCTGGGTTTGATCCATCTCTGATTAATCATCACCTGATAGTTCGAGATTGAAAAAACCTTTTGTGGTTTTGCAAAGTGCTTTGGCATATGACTACTGTACTATGAACAACTGCATATCTTGATGTGCATACTGCAGTATTTTCACATGGACCATTTTATTTTCTAGGATATAACTATTAGAGATGTTTTGTTAGCCATTAGTGTGCTAAATACAGACTCTTTCTAAAGAAGAATATTCTGAAACTTCAGTTTTAGATTTTTTTAAAATTTGATAATGAAGTGCATGTATTCATGGATGTTTTCCTTTAGTAGCCTTCTGACAAACCTTCATACAGTAAAACCTCCGGCACGCTTGAGGATTAGGACGTTCCGGTTATCTAAACATTCCAGTTATCTGAGAGTCCCATCAACCTATGAAAAACCAATAGACAATAATAGTAAAACTCAGGTTTTTAATATTGGTAGTTTTATAGTGTCAGGCAGTTGGTCTCACATTTCTATGTTGAGTGAAAGATGATTAGTACTACTAAAATAAAAAATTGTTAAGCCAATCATGGTAAACGAAGCCAGGCCTGTGCACCTGAAGATGTGACAGTATTATGGTTGGGGGCAATGCCGGTTAACAAAGTTTTCTGGTTAACGGAGTGCCAGATAACAAAGCTTTCACTGTACTTGTATTTTGCCTTATTATGTGATATGTCATTTGCCTGTGCTCATCTCAGCATCATGCAGCTAAAATTCTTAGAATAATATAAAAGTGATCATTTGAAAAGTTTAATTCAAATAATTTGTGCAAATACTCAACTTCAATTAATGCAGTACAAATGAAACACATATAGGTCACTGTAGAACAGGGGTGTCCAAACTTTTTTCAAAGAGGGCCAGATTTGATGAAGTGAACATGCGTGAGGGCCGACCATTTTGCCTGACATTCTTTAAACCATTAAAATTAAATGCAAATTAACTATTTTATGCAAAGTTTATTGCAAACGGCATACTTTTCATTTCGTCACATGGATGACAAATCTAAACAGGTGTTAAACTACTCTGCCTTTCATATCTGAAGGCCAGATGAAAAAAAAATCCAGGAAGCTGAAATATATGTCAGGAACATTGTAAAGTACATTACATATTATTGGTAATAAAGGTTGTCTGTCAACTTTTAAGTTAAAAAAATATGAACAGGAACAGAACACCAAGTATACATGTTGTGTCCAAATATATTTATAACTGATTTAGACCAACTGACATTAACTGAGATTTTACAATGTATTCATCTCAATACATATGGATTCGTTGGGGGCCATAAAAGATAGATATTGCCAAATTACCTGTGGGGCCGTATTAAACCGGAACATGGGCCGCAATTGGCCCGCGGGCTGGACTTTGGACATGCCTGCTATAGAATGTATTTCTACCTACATTCTCTGAGTTTCCTTTTGGTCATTTGTTATGAAAGATGTTATTTGCAAATTGTGTGTAAAAGTCTCTTGTCTGATTTCCAGACAACCACAATTTGGGTTGCACTAGGAGAATTTTGTCCTCATATTTAGAAAGCCTCCTGGGATATTTCTTTTCTCAACCAGTAGATGGAGTCATATCTTTGGTTAATGCTTTAACAAGCTGAACACTCTTAATACTTCACTGCAAGGTGGTAATAATAATATTCTTGAACTCTATGAGAAATTGAAAGCATTTATTAGGAAAGTTGAACTGTGGCAGAGCAAAATGGAAAATTTAAGTTTAGACATGTTTCCTACTTTAAAACAATGTATTGAAAGCAATAACACACATATTAGTGAAGATGTGAAATTTTTTATTTTAAATTACCTAACCCCTAGAACAGGGGTTCCCAAACTTTTTGACACAGGGACCAGTAAATCCATTCACCAGCTTTTGGAGGACGGGTAACATTCATTTGCATATTTGGATATTCATTAAGCAAATGATGAATATGCAAACAAGTTGTTTCTGGTCCTCCCAAAGCCCCCAGTGCCAGCTTTAGCAAAGCTTTTGATATGGCCACCCACAATGTTCTTGCCAGTAAGTTAAGGGATTGCGGATTGGATAAATGGACTGTAAGATGGATAGAAAGCTGGCTAGATCAGGGTTTCCCAAACTTTTTACTTCAGTTGGAACCTGTTTTTTTTAGTACTGTTTTTTGCAGCCCTAAAATATAAATGCATATAAAAAAAGGAACGAAAAATGAATACATTTTCACTGTTTCACCCGGCTGCATCCTCCGCCCAGCCCGGGTCAGGGCATGGGGGACCTGGTGCTGCACAGGCACTCCAGGAGGTGGGAGCAAGAGCAGACTGGTGGTAGGGTATCTGGCTAGGAGGGAGGGTGCAAGGAGGGGACTTGGGTAGGAGTTGCATCTCCCCGGTCTGGCATCCTGACTGGTCCCAGATGAGGGATTTTTTTTGGACCAGGGGAGGTCATTTCAGGGCTCCTGGTTCCCCACCTCTCCACTAGTCTTCTTTGCACCTCTATCCCCTGGAACCCAGCTGAGCTGCCCACCCATGCTGGTTCCCTGCTCCTCCCCCAAAACCATCCCCCACAATCCAAGGGAGTGCAGCACCAGTTCTCTGCCGCCCCTCACAGCCTAGCTGAGCTTCTGTTCCCTATGCCTTCCCCCATTCACCTCAGCCTAGCTGAGCCCAGCACTGGTTCCCTGCATGCCTTCCCCACAGCACAGCTGAGCCCCGTTTCCCGGCACCTCCCCTCAAGCCCTGCAGCGCTGCTGAGCCTAGCTCTGATTTCCTGCCCCTCCCTCCCCTTCATAGGCTTGCGCAGCACATTTTATTAGGATGTGCACCCAGGGATTTTTTTTTTTAAAGGCCAGCATTTATTGAATCCTCAATCATAAAGGACATTATTTTTATTCATCAAACAAACTAAAGAAACTAAAACTTAACTAAACTTTTTTTTTAAATTAACAACTAAACTTTACTTAAACACAAACTTAACTATGGGACATTGTACTTCTTAGTTTGTTTTTTACATATGCAATTTGGCGCTTATTGCATAATACAGCAATCCATACTGTAAAACTAAAAGAGTGTATCATGCGATTAAATTAAAATGCAAAGCCACTTTTTTTTTGAGACAGTATGGGGTTACCAGGTAGTCCTAAAAAAAAAAAAATACCAGAGACACTTCATGGGGGCGGGTAGGGACCAGCCGAGAGGGAAGCAGGGCGGGCT